GTTACCTGATTGGCCGCTCACTTGAAATGTACTCTCCCGCTGGCAGCGGGTTGCATGATTGGCAGTTCACTTGAAATGTACTCTCCCGCTGGCAGTGGGTTGCCTGATTGGCAGAAATGTACTCCCCCGCTGGCAGCGGATTGCCTTGTTGGCAGATCACTAAAAACATGCTCCTCCGCTAGCAGCGGGTTACCTCGTTGGCAGCTCACTTGAAATGTACTCTCTTGCTGGCAGCGGGTTGCCTGATTGGCAGCTCACTTGAAATGTACTGTCCCGCTGGCAGCGGGTTGCCTGATTGGCAGTTCACTTGGACCGTGCGTGTTTGCGAACGCGCTGAGCACAACGCACTCACTCACTCCGAACATGGACACCGGTCAGTTGAACCTCTTGAGGGTTGTGCACGCCTTACACACTCCCTGAAAAAGACTCCCCCCTCTGTTCTCTCTGCGTCTCTCATCGACTTTTCCACGTCTCTCCTCACCGTCTCTCATTCTCGGGTTCAGACTCTCGCACACACCGCCATCACAACAGCAGCTGCAGCTCACGAACGGCACGGGTTCTCCAGACACACCGCACCTCCTACTGCGTGTGGGCGGGGAACGCCTTGCACGTCTCTCCCGCTGATCCACACGAGCGTCCCCCCACACCTTGCTCGAGTTGCGAGGTGGGCCGGGTACGCCTTGCCCGCCTCCTTCAATGCCTCCCCGTTTGAATTCCCCCTAGCTGTTCGGTGACCTTCCCAATATGATTCCAGTACCAGAGGCTGCAGCCTCAAGTGAGCACCGTCCCGGCTAACTTTGTCACCCCCAAGCTGTGTACCAGCAGGTCTCGAGGCCTGTTAGCAAGTAGTGGGTGGTACCCGCCCCACAATTCAGAAAAGGTACCACCATAATCCGATATACCACGGCAGCAGCTTTGTTGCTATCACATCGGCGTCCAGTGGTAAGATAATGGGGCCAGATTTCATGACGCGGCACCAGTCCCATACCAGCGACCACCGAGTCCAACACTGAACCTGAACCAACCCGTCTTGAGCTGCAGTGACTGACGCCATTTCATTTCCGGACGGATACCGAACCTGAAATCAATACAGCAACACGCATCACACCGACGCGGAGCTGATAATTACGTCGATGTCGTACGTGGGGTTTCCACTCGTTGTCGCTGTGACTCATACCATACCTAGGCCGAACCGGAACCAAGTCTGGGACACGTCGAATATCGAGCTAATGTCGAGCCTGAAAAATGTCGGAGTCGTACCAATACCGAGCCTGAAATAGGTAATTTACCGTACAACGCCGCAATCCCATGATAGTACCGATCCTCAGAATATGTCCACGAGGCCAAACTCGAACCTAGAATGAGTCAAATGCCGAATGATTATTGAGTCTGAAATATATCGGCCGTCATAGAATGCCACAACGTGAATGTCGCCGAACCTCCCGGAACCATGAATCCGCACCGAGCCAAATACCATACCGTCGACCCAAGGTAGCACCACCCCATGTCGTCCATGCGACTCCCGCTCTTGGAACATCCCAAATGCGGTAATGTTAGTAATCAAGCAAACCAGGGAAAGCGACGCAGGRAACCTCGACCATCGGCAGTAGTGAAAACTGATAAAATCCGGGGAAAATGCTMAATCCGGGGTCAGAAATAATGGCGGGTAATTGAGGCGAAATTAGGCCAATCTCCTAATAATCATGGTTTCCCGTCCCTTCCATCATTTTT